TTGGAAGGGGAATTCCCTTCCATCAACACCTCAGGTACCAAGTCCTTTCCTGTGGGTTACTTCTCTTTTCTGTTTCTTAATGCCACTAGGACCAGCTTGAGAGTCACTGGAGTCCTGTCTCGCAAAAAAAAAAAGTGTCCAGAGAGCTCTGTTTCTGGCGTCTCTTTAAAACTTCCCTAAAATGGGGCAAGACTCTGTCACTGTACAAGTTGCCGATATGGCTTGCAACATCCTTCTCAGGGTGATGTTTCTCCATAAATCTTTCCATCCTACCCCATATTTAAAAAATCTCCTTAATTTCTGAAGAAGGCACCTTCTTCCATCTTTTCCTCCTCCTCTGCAGCAAGATTCTGAGCTGCGATCTGTTGCTATTCCTGCTGAAGCTCTTGCAGCTCTTCAGTGGTTAGCTTTTCATTGTGGTCCTCCACCAACTCTTCCACATCCTCCAAACTCACATCCAACCCCATGGAACTCCCCAATGCCACAAAAGAGTTCACAACTGACATAGGCTCATCAGGGTCAGCCACAAACCCTTCAAAATCCCTCTTGTGGACACAATCTGGCCAAAATTTTCTCCAAGCAGAGTTCAAAGTCCTGGTAGTCACTCCCTCCCAAGCCTTACCTATAAGGCTTATGCAATGGAGGATACTGAAGTGTTCTTTCCAAAAATCTTAGGGTCAAGTGAGTGTCTGAGGTCACATTAAAGCACCTTTGAAACATTGCTTTGGTGTAGAGTTTTTTAAAGTTTGAACTGACCTGCTGGTCCATGGGCTGGAGGAGAGGAGTGGTATTTGGGGGGCAAAAACTTTACTGTGATGAACCCAAACTCCTGCAGAATTAGGTCATCCAAGTTTGGAGGATGAGCAGGTGCACTGTCCATTACTAGGAGGCACTTGAGATCCAATTTCTTTTCCAGGAGGTAATTCTTCACACTAGGGCCAAACACTTCATTGAACCACTCGACGAAAATTTCCCTCGTGACCCATGCCTTATTATTAGATTTCCAAAACACACACAATTTACTCTTCATAACATTGTTTTTCCAGAACACACTGGGATTTTCAGAATGGCACACTAGTAACGGCTTCACTTTGAAATCCCCACTAGCATTAGCACAGAACATGAGCGTCAGCCTGTCTTTCATAGTCTTGTCCTGGCAGTCTTTTTTCCTCCTGAGTAATGTAGGTCCTCTTTGGCATTTTCTTCCAAAAGAGGCCTGTTTCGTCACAATTGAACACTTGTTCAGGTTTCAGTCCTTCAGCCTCTATGTACTCCTTGAATTCACTTACGAATTTTGTAGCTGCAATTTTGTCCGAATTGGCAGCCTCACCATGCCTTATCACACTGTGTATGCCACTATGGTTCTTAAATCTCTCAAACCAACCTTTGTTGGCCTTAAATTCACAAATATCAGTACTCGTTGCAGGCAATTTCTTTACCAGATCGTCATGCAACTGCCTAGCCTCTTCACAAATAATCGACATCACAAGAATATCTCCTGCTAAATGTTTCTCGTTTATCCACACCAATAATAACTTCTCAACATCTTCGAGTACTTGTTAACTCATTTTTGTCAGCATATTTACCCCCTTTGCAACAACAGCTTCCTTGATTTCCTTTTTCTTGGCCACGATGGAAGATATGGTTGTACAGGAATTGTTATACATCCTGGCCAGTTTGGCCACACATATGCCACTTTCATATTGTTCAATGATGTTTTCCTTAAATTCAATCGTATTTCTCACCTTCTTTACCAAAGGCCTAGGAGCTTTCTTTGGAGCCATGGTAGCTTATTTAGCACTTGCAAGCACTAAACTGAATGGAATATTATGAAATATTTCGTATGAACAAGTGAGGGGACCATCGCTCACTGGTAAACAATGGCACCCTGGCTGGGAAGGGAGGCCGAGGCAGCTCAGAGCCGTGAGTACGCGTCCAGGACGAACAATGATTAGCGAGTCAACCGACCATTTGCAAGCCAATGTTTGGATGAAAATAACGTGACGATTTCCAAAAAGGATGACTATCGAGCCCGATGATTATCAAGGGACCACTGTATATTCCTGTCAACCATGGATTTGCTTGATACAACTTTCTCAGCCTTTTGAAAATCAATAGGATGGTTAAAAATCTCTCACATGAATAAACAGAGCATCAGAATTTTTGTCCAGTTCTAATGCTATATTTATGTTGTTTTAACCCTTTCAGGGTCGACAGGCCCTCTAAGAGACTTGTTCTCACGGTCGCCCAAATTTCAAAAAAAAAAATTATTTTTTCTTATGAAAAGATAGAGAATCTTTTCCCGATCATAATGACACCAAAAGTACGAAATCTGATGGAAAACTTACGGAATTATGCTCTTGCGAAGTTAGCAGTCTCGACAATGTTTACGCATCAGCGATTTTGCCCACTTTGAGCCCTATTTTCAGCCAATCCCAGTGTTCTTGTTGACAAAAATCATAACTGTTTTGCTAGAACTCCATTTTTTCTATCGAATGAGTACAAGAAACCACCCGTTTACCGATTTCAACTATCCAATACAGTGGTCAGAATTTAGCAATTTTGCCAATTTCACACAAATTTCAAAAGATGCCAATTTCCGAATAGGGTCCAGAATAAACAAGAAAGACATTCCTGACACTAAAATAACATTTCCTCTGTTCATTAGTCATGTCCCCATGCCCCTCTTACATTCTTTTGCTTTCCACTTTGAATTTTTATTCTCACAACAAAATAGAAGATTTACTGTTATGCAGACTACTGCATTGGTGTAGAAATGGTATAAATAATATCAGCGCACTTGTGAAAAAATATTAGACTCACCAGTTGACATGTATTGGACGCTTAGCATGATTTGTTTACTTTTGAACTTTGGTAAAAATCGAACATTTCTGCTACTTTCAGCTCAATTTCAAAGTACTTTTCTTTGTAAAACCAGTCAAAATCATCTCAATTTCTGTAATATGTCTTCCATTCTATAAAATGAGACCAGGAAAACTAGAATACAACAATAAATGCCATACGAAAATACAGTGCAAAGTCGCTGTTTTAATCCAAAAACACGGTCAAAGTTTTATTTTCTCATTATGCAGTGTGTGCTGCAGGATTTTTTTTATACCACGCACACTGACCACATAGACCCATTCTTTCATATGTAGGCCTACCAGCTTTCTCTCACTAAATTTGAGGGTACTAGAATTTACTAGAATTTAGGCATATTAGTATATCAAAAACCCTGGTGCGTAAGCCATACTAATATGGCCGAAACCCTGAAAGGGTTAATCTTAGTTCGAGACTTTTACCAGTTTGACCACAATAAACTTTATCACACATTTTACAAGGAATCTTATAGACATATCCCCAGGCACACAAAAATAAAATCTAGAACAGACTTTTTTATAGCCACAGATGGCTGGAAAGAGCTTGAAAAAAGGGTCTCAATAGTATTTTCTAATCATATGAATTTAGAATACAGTAGACCCTCATATTACATGGTAGTTAAGTACATGTACCTGAAAATGCCATGTTAGATAAATTTGTGTTATATAAACTGAAGAACTTAGGGGACAAATAGAGTTACGTTCCTGGGACCCCCCCAAAAGCCAAATAGCTTTTTTTTAGACATTCAGATCTTGCAAAAATAAAAAAGATAATGTCATTTTTGTTGCCTTAAAGCTACAAATGCAACAAATATTATTTACCTTAAATTGTGGTTACTGTTGTATGTCAGTGATTGTGAAGAGAGTGGAGATGCATGGTGTGGCCCTACTGGGCTGAGGTGGTTGGTTGTCAGCAGAAATGGATGGTTGAGGTTCTGGTACTAAAGTCGATGGTTGTATTGGAGCATTCATTATTTCTGTAATAGATCTCTGGCTTCTTTTACCCTGCAGTACATTATAAATGCAGTACATTATAAATGTACTGCTGGGTAAATGTATAATGTACTGCTTGGTACTGCCAGGTTGGAGCCAGAGTCCACTGATGCAACTAGTTTTTTCATCACTTTTCTTGTGTAGTTACACTTGAATGACTTAATAACTCCTCAATCCAGTGATTATATTAAAGATGCTGTATTTGGAGGTAAAAATACAACATTTACATGTGGGGTCACATCCAGCAAAGCTTCTGGATGAGTACAGGAATTATCAAGAGCCTTGAATACAAGGTTCTTGCTGGAGATTACCTGGAGAGAGTTTCGGGGGTCAACGCCCCCGCGGCCCGGTCTGTCACCAGGAGGCCTGGTCACAGACCGGGCCGCGGGGGCGTTGACCCCCGAAACTCTCTCCAGGTAAATATTTCCTCTGTCATCCATGCTGACTGGTTTGACCTCCAAATTACTATAAGATGCTTTTATCTACACTTTTCAAAGCACAAGGATTCTTAGAGCGGTAAATAACCATGGGCTGACACTTTAAATCACCCGACCCATTACCGCAAAGGAGCAAGGTGAAGAGATCCTTTGCTGCCTCGAAGCCCCGTGCAGCCCCGCGGAGATAGTGGTCTCACCCACAGCCAGGAAGTGGCCTGAGATAGGGAAATATCCTGCGGGCAATGCTCCAGATTTTTTCCCCTCCCGCAAACCGAACTGTGTTAAGTTAATTTTACGAAGTGTTGTATAAAATTAGGCTGCAATTTTTCAATAGTGTAATAATCAAAATGCGTCAAATAATTACATGTACTATGAGGGGTCTACTACTGTATAATAAATTAATTAAAAAGGGGGCTACTAAAGTTATGTAACAACTATAAAGAGGTACAATTGCATAATCATCATATGGTCTAGTATTAAAATGGTAAATTATCATAGGTACTGCATACAAGTTAAACAATTAAAAATATGCAGCATTAAAAACACTAAATTTAAACATTTATTAAAAATAAATTATTGAAATATTTAAACATTAATGAAACAAACTTTAATTAAAATAAAAATAAAATTTAATATTAAATAGAGTAATTCAATAATTTAAACAATTCAAATGCTGTAAATTTCAACTAACCTTCCTCAATATCATTCCTGGCGGCAGCTTCCAGTAGCATTACATTGCTAATGAACATAACACTCTTCCTTTTCTCTCTTCTCCTCTTCTGTGCTTCATTTTGTGCAGTTTTTTCTCTCTTGCTGCCAGCTATCTCCCTCTCCTTCTGTGACCATTTCTTCATTTGTTGCATACGACGACGTCTTGCCAATTTCAGCCGCTCTTGAGTTGACAGCTTTTCAATGTATGCCATTTCGGCAATGAGCTCACTGTGCTCCATTGTGGCGACTTTTTCTTTATGCCCACTTTTTTAAATCTTTGAAAGACTGTTTCTGTTTTGGAATGTATGCATCTCCATGGAATGCCATTAAATTATTCAGTATAAAGTCCGAGAATCATTGCAGTCCAGAGCAAAAATCATCACTATTTCTAAACATACTCATCTCTTTAATTTTACCTTTCAGAATAGCATACATACTCAGTATTAACTGGACTTCAGTTTCTCACTGCAATTTCTGTGGCATTTTCATTCCAGTGATATTCTTACAGACATTCAATAGTACACTGAAAACTTTTCTTTATTTAGTAATAATCTACAATATATACTGCATATCTTAGTTATCCATCTGTTTTATTGAGCTAATTTATCACAGCTTTTGACAGGTACATACAGTACTGTATATACCAGTTTATTAATCCAGGACTTGCACTGGAGTTCTCTTTTTCATTTTTATATCTGGGATGTATATACAGTTATATTTATATTTGATTAATATCTACAGTAAACATATGGAATGTGTCCTTGTGTGTCTATTATGTACATCACTTATGAATTATAAATTTCTGGCCACTTTCATCCATGTTTCCAGCACAATGCCTCTCACAACATTCAGTGAAAAATTTGACAAGTGTTGCAGGTTCATCTGCAACAACTTGTCTTGAGAGGCTTTTCCTGTGTAATTCATTATCAGCACTCACATTTCTTGTCCCATATTAATCTGAATCTGCAGGAAAGATTTTTGGGGGGATTTTTTATTATACATATTAAACATATTTACCATTAGACCATCACTAACATAATATTTTGCCAATGGGTTGCAATCAGGGCGTATAGATACATTACAATTGATAATACAAAATACAGATCTGCTTAAATACACACTGTACAAAAGAGTTGAGCAAGAGCTTGCAAGCTTTGCTATTCAATTACAACTCTCTGCTCATCTGAGCAGAGCAGTCAAGTGTGTCATCACATATAGACTGTACACTGTGTGCCCTAGTTTTATGTTAGCCCACTGTATATTACTCAGCTGTAGCTATGTTCCCTGGTTGTACATTCCAAGACTGTTTGTACCCTGGTTGTATATTCCCCAGACTGTTTGTACCCTAGTTGTTTATATCTAGACTATGTTCCTTGGTTGTATATTTCTAGACTGTATGTTCCTTTATTATATGTATAATCCCAAACTGTCTGCTCCCTGGTTGTATGTTCCCAGACTATGCTCCCTGGTTGTATATTCCCAGACTGTATGTTCCCTGGTTATATATTCTCAGACTATGTTCCCTAGTTGTACATTCCCAGACTGTATATTTCCTGGATGTATATTCCCAGACTGTATGTTCCCTCATTGTATATTCCCAGACTGTATGTTCCCTCATTGTATATTCCCAGACTGTATGTTCCCTCATTGTACATTCCCAGACTGTATGTTTTCTGGTTGTATATTCCCAGACTATGTTCCCTGGTTATATATTCCCATACTGTTTATTCTCTGGTTGTACATTTAGTTATATACACATTCAAGATTGTTCAGTGATCTCATATTACAGGTGGCTAGTGGCTCAAAAGGTAGAGGTCTCAGCTCACAACCGAGAGTCCAGGGTTAGTTCCCAGATTAATGGAAATGTCTGGCACGTTTCCTTACACTTGCTGACCCTATTTGCCAAGAAATAAGTAGGTCCCTGTGTGTTAGACAGCTGATGTGGATTGCATACTGGTGGGGAGAATTAAAAGATTCCAAAGGAAGTAAGTCAGACAGCCTTGTGACAGCAGCTTTGTTGGGTTATCCTGGGTTACTAACCTTCCAGTCATATATGTAATTCCAATTAAATCATCTTCAAATTGTATGTTCTTGGTTTTGTATTCACTGGCTATGTGGTTTTTATTTGTTAAGTAAATTTTATGGTTGTATTGTCTCCAGACTGCATGTTCCCTGACTATATTGTTTCCAGACTGCATGTTCCTTGGCTGTATTGTTTCCAGACTGCATGTTCCCTGGCTGTTTTGTTTCCAGACTGCATGTTCCCTGACTATATTGTTTCCAGACTGCATGTTCCCTGGCTGTATTGTTTCCAGACTGCATGTTCCCTGGCTGTATTGTTTCCAAACTGCATGTTCCCCAGCTGTATTGTTTCCAGACTGTATGTTCCCTGGCTGAATTGTTTCCAGACTGTATGTTTCCTGGCTGTATTTCTCCCAGACTGCATGTTCCTTGGTTGTCTTGTCTCCTGGCTGTATTATTTCTAGACTGTATGATCCCTGGCTGTATTGTTTCCAGAATGTAAGTACGTTGGTTTGCGTGCAGCCAGCAGCAACAGCCTGGTTGATCAGGCTCTGATCCACCAGGAGGCCTGGTCACAGATTGGGCCGCAGGGGCGTTGACCCCCCAGAACTCTCTCCAGGTAAACTCCAGGTACCTGGCTGTATTGTTTCCAGACTGCATGTTCCCTGGCTGTATTGTTTCCAGACTGCATGTTCCCTGGCTGTATTGTTTCCAGACTGCATGTTCCCTTGTTGTATTGTTTCTAGACTGCATGTTCGCTGATCCACCAGGAGGCCTGGTCACAGACCGGGCCGCGGGGGCGTTGACCCCCGAAACTCTCTCCAGGTAAACTCCAGGTAAACTGTATTGTTTCCAGACAGCATGTTTCCAAACTGCATGCTCCCTGGCCATATTGTTTCCAAACTGTGTTTTCCCTGGCTGTAGTTTCTAGGCTGTGTTCCCTGGCTGTAGTTTCTAGGCTGTGTGTTCCCTGGCTGTATTGTTTCTAGACTACGTATATGTTACACCTATATTGTTCCCTGACTCTACGTTCCCTGGTTGAATAGTTCCTAGAATGTGTGTGTCCTGATTGAATTGTTCGAAAACCATATATTCTTGGTTCTGTTATTCCTTGACTAATGTTCCCTGGTTGTATTTTTCTTGGATTGTATGTTCCCTGGTTGTATTTTTCTTGGATTGTATGTTCCCTGGTTGTATTACTTCTAGGGCAATACATTTTTACCCCAAACTGTATGTTCCCTTGTTATACTATTACATGATAGTATATATGTTTCCTGGTTGTATTTTCAAATATATATGCCCTGGTGGTATTGTCCCAAGATAAGATTTTGTTCGGATTTTTAACCCTGGAGGGTTACACACCCAGAATAACCCAAGAAAGGCAGTGTGTCATTGAGGGACCGTTTGTCTTATTTCCATTGGGGTCCTCAATCTTGTCCCCCAGAATGCGGCCCACACCAATTGACTAACGCCCAGGTACCTACTTGCTAGGTGAACAAGATAACAGGTGTAAGAAAATGCGTTGAAATGTTTCCACGCCGCCAGGAATCAAACCTGGACCCTCAGTGTGTGAAGCAAGAGCTTTGCCAGCCAGGCCACAGGGCCCCATGCCCAAGGCTTGTGTATCATGGTTGTGCTGTTCCTGGACTATGATCCCTGGTTGTTTTGTTCCCAGACTGTATATTTCTCTGCTACAAGTTCTATGGTTGCATATTCCCATCTTTCCTCCAATTCTTATTTATAACTAGAACAGCATTCCTTGTATCAATTCAGGTACAGTACCTAGTTTCATATTTAATGTACCTATAATCAGAATTTTATATTCAAAATAATGTAAAATAAAAATAAATAAATAAGTATAATATGTATGTATGTATGTATAAATATCTAGATTCTGGATAGTTGTTTCCCTGAACGAATATGCCTGGACTTCCCACTCATTTCTGCAACACTGCAAGCTCCTGATGTATTGGTTGCAACACGAAAGGCCTAGAGCTATCATTCAATTCCCCCTGTGGTTATTTTGTGTATGTGTATATGCATGGATATGTATGCATGTATATGTGTGTGTATATATATATATATATATATATATATATAATATATATATATATATATATATATATATATATATATATACACAGGCACACGCACACACACACGCACACACACACACACACACACACACACACAAAACAAAAAAGGAGACAGACATGAAGCATTAAACTACAGACCAGTGTCACTGACATGTATAGTATGCAAAATCATGGAGAAGATTATCAGGAGAAGAGTGGTGGAACACCTAGAAAGGAACGATCTCATCAACAGCAGCCAACATGGTTTCAGGGACGGGAAATCCTGTGTCACAAACCTACTGGAGTTCTATGACATGGTGACAGCAGTAAGACAAGAGAGAGAGAGGGGTGGGTGGATTGCATTTTCTTGGACTGTAAGAAGGCGTTTGACACAGTTCCACACAAAGAGATTGGTGCAAAAACTGGAGGACCAAGCAGGGATAACAGGGAAGGCACTAACAATGGATCAGGGAATACTTGTCAGGAAGACAGCAGCGAGTCATGGTACGTGGCGAGGTGTCAGAGTGGGCACCTGTGACCAGCGGGGTCCCGCAGGGGTCAGTCCTAGGACCAGTGCTGTTTCTGGTATTTGTGAACGACATGACGGAAGGAATAGACTCTGAGGTGTCCCTGTTTGCAGATGACGTGAAGTTTGATGAGAAGAATTCACTCGATCGAAGACCAGGCAGAACTACAAAGGGATCTGGACAGGCTGAAGACCTGGTCCAGCAATTGGCTCCTGGAGTTCAATCCCACCAAGTGCAAAGTCATGAAGATTGGGAAGGCAAAGAAGACCGCAGACGGAGTACAGTCTAGGGGGCCAGAGACTACAAACCTCCCTCAAGGAAAAAGATCTTGGGGTGAGTATAATACACCAGGCACATCTCCTGAAGCGCACGTCAACCAAATAACTGCTGCAGCATATGGCGCCTGGCAAACCTCAGAACAGCATTCCGACATCTTAATAAGGAATCATTCAGGACCCTGTACACCGTGTACGTTAGGCCCATATTGGAGTATGCGGCACCAGTTTGGAACCCACACCTAGCCAAGCACGTGAAGAAACTAGAGAAAGTGCAAAGGTTTGCAACAAGACTAGTCCCAGAGCTAAGAGGTATGTCCTACGAGGAGAGGTTAAGGAAATCAACCTGACGACACTGGAGGACAGGAGAGATAGGGGGGACATGATAACGACATACAAAATACTGAGAGGAATTGACAAGGTGGACAAAGACAGGATGTTCCAGAGATTGGACACAGTAACAAGGGGACACAGTTGGAAGCTGAAGACACAGATGAATCACAGGGATGTTAGGAAGTATTTCTTCAGCCACAGAGTAGTCAGTAAGTGGAATAGTTTGGGAAGCGATGTAGTGGAGGCAGGATCCATACATAGCTTTAAGCAGAGGTATGATAAAGCTCACGGCTCAGGGAGAGTGACCTAGTAGCGATCAGTGAAGAGGCGGGGCCAGGAGCTCGGACTCGACCCCGCAACCTCAACTAGGTGAGTACAACTAGGTGAGTACACACACACACACACACATATTCCTATTTTTTTAGGCCATAATCATGGAAAGAATGGTGAGGGGAAGAACTGGTGCTTAGATAAAGCAGTGAAAAATATTGTGGGTAGTCAGGACAACGGCTAAGAAATATTAAGTGGCTTGACCACTCTATGTTTTTTTTTTTTTTGTCACATACTGATTAGCTCTGCGAGGTTATATAAACTTTAAGTTATTACGTGTTCATTTGAGCCAAGTTACAAGTGCATTACAGCATACTCACAAAGTTTGAAGTGTTCTTCACCTTTACTCAATAGTTTACACAATGTGCAACTTATGCTTGTGTGTTGAAGTCTTACATTAAGTTCTTTATGTATCATGTATACTCAAACGTAGCCATGTATGGTGAAGCACATATATCAGAGGTGACACTGCTGAAGATTTTCCACACACAAGTCACTACACCACCTCTCTACAATAATGTGATGTCAAGGGGAGCTCCAAACGCGTACGGGTTATATAACGCCTAGGTAAATGAGAGGTAATCATTCTCGATCCAGGGACGGGGAGGACAATTCCAGTTCATTGGATAAAATCCTCTCACTGATGTCAAGGAACTTCCCTTGACGGGTAACCAGCAACACCTTATAACGCTCAACACCTGTGTAACACCTGGCAACACCTTGTAACGCTCAACACCTGTGTAACACCTGGCAACACCTTGTAACGCACAACACCTGTGTAACACCTGGCAACACCTTGTAACGCACAACACCTGTGTTAGAGGCCGTGCCCACCACAATGTCCTCAGATGAGAGGTTCTCAACACCTGTCAGCACACACAACACTGCCTCACGTGCAACACTAGCAACGTGACTAACACCTTCACTAGGCCTAGTATCAGGCACCTGGGCACTAGGCCTGCCACCTACACACACTGCTCAACACAAGTATAAATGTTGTGCACCTGTGTCAGCACCCACACACCACCTCCAGTACTGTGTCAGACTGCCTCTACCTCCCTCCTCCACGCTCCTCCCTCACTCCCTCCCACCTCCCTCACTCCCTCCCCCCTTCCTTCTCCAACAACCTGTCCCACACACCCTCCCTTCCTCCCTCCAGCCACTTGACCCCCCTCCTATCCACCCCCACACACCCTCTATTCCTCATTTCAATTCCTCCCTCCCTCACTCCATCAACCTCCTCCTTTCTTCCCTTCATCAAACCCTCCCTCCCACTCGCTTTCTTCCATCAACCCCCTCCCTTCCTTACATCTACCTCCCTCCCCTCTCCCTCCAACTCCCTTGCTCTGTCACCCCCCTATCAACCCCCTCCCTCTTGTCTGCCTCCCCATATCATCAACCTCTCCCTTTCTCCATCCGCCTCCCTCTCACTTTTCTTATTTAAACAAGGGTTTCTTCATCCATCCCTTCCATCATCAACCCCTCCCACCATCCACCTCTCTTCCCTCACCACCAAACTCTCCTTCCCTCTCTTATCAACCCCTGTCTCCCTCCATCCGCCTACATCCACCACCATCAACTCTCCTGACAACCTCCCTCTATTAACTCCTTCCATCTGCCTTCACTCCTTTATATTTCATTAGAAATTCACTGGTTTGTTTTATTCTATATTATTTCCGTAGCTCTCTATTAATAGTAATGTATTATAAATAAATATTAAAGTATGCAATAGTTACAATGTTATGTAAAATGTCATCGGCAGAATATATTTATAAAGTGGAGATTTATATACTATATTTCTCTAAACATATCAACAAGATTATTTTTTTGTGGCTTAGTTAATGCAGCAATATACAGACGTATAGTAAATATTATTGTCTGATGCATATTGTAAGATATCTAAGGTTGCAACAATGTTTAGTGAGCAAGTTGTGGAAACTGAGGCTGGAATCACACACCTGTGCGACGTCTGAAACTCTTACATTAACAACTATAACATTGTTAACACTAACATCTGGCTTCTGTGTTAGTGCTAACTGCTTTATATGTATTTGCTTAATTTTAAAATACTTTCAAATCTTTAGTTCTTTGTCGAGCTTCAATATTTAACGCGTGTAAATAAGCCATGACATCGATTACTTTGAGTAAATGTAGTTTTTGAGTCAGTTCTGAGAGTCATCTCAGCAGAGGAAGTAGACAGCGAGTTGCAACATCTTGCTCACTCATAACTTACACAAGTTTATAATATATATTCCAGTTAACAAACATTCAGGAGACTGTATATACGAGTTCATTTGTCTGCACTTATGCTTGGTATATACACTTAAATTGTCCACGAAATGGTAAATGCTTCAAGTTTCAAATGCACAATAATACAACACTTGCAATATGACGGCATTAAAGTTTTAAAGGTCAACATTATATATTCTTTTTTTCACTGGCGTCAAGATAATTCAGCTAGTATATACGTATTACTGTAACCTGGTCACTAGTGTTGTTACTGATGATAAACATTAATGTGCTTCCAGCTCTGCTGTTCTTGCAACAGTATTTACACTTTCTGCAACAACTTTTATGCAAGTGTTAACATTGCTACTGGGATAGAATAACTAAATATAAAAGTCAGTTATGTAAAGTCAGTTAAATAAAGCGTAAAACTTGTAAAAAGTGTAAAAGAAAAAGACGTGCAACATTTTAATCCTAAGATTAACACAACACATCATTTAATATTGTTAAGAATTTATACAATTGACATGAACTTGTAATAAACAGTCTTGGGTTATATATATAATGAAATTCCAAGCGCTTTCTTGACTACTCACATTATTTTTTTAATTGTCTTTTTTCAGTTATTTTTTTCCATACACAGTTTAATTTTCCGCTACTTGTACGTTTGGTACAAGTTTGTAAAGGCAATATTTAGCCTTCCTGTATGTTGTTTTATTTTTCGTCACTGAACAAATAATTCAAGTGTTTCACTTAAGTGATAGGCACATTATCGTTTAAAATTTTCCTGTGCACTTCTTTGATGAGTCGAAGAATGTTTAACATGTCAGGGTAACTGGACAATGAAGTTAAAGTATCATATATATATATATATATATATAATATATATATAATATATATATATATATATGATGCTTTAATTTCATTGTCCGGCTACCCTGATCTAAATGACAATGTACAAGGTTAGATCAAGATTGTTGACTCACACTCTGGTTTCCTTGCATTTGTTGCAAGTTGAATTTGTCAGCTTCTAGCAGTTCTTCAGTTTGTTACTCACGGGAACTTCATGTGGCAGTTTTCATTGGTCTTCTAGGTTATCCTATTGCTGTGAAGCCCCAGTGAATTTCTAGAGTGGATTACAAAGTTTGTCAACACATTACCGGAAATCCCAAGGTGATATATGCACTCGTCTTAGTGCTTCTTGTTAACATGTAGTAGCAGCTCTATCACCTCCAATATTTATTACAATGTCTTACATTTTCACTGGTCGCTAATGTTTGAAGTTTACACACTGTATGTGTGTGTGTGTGTGTGTGTGTGTGTGTGTGTGTGTGCGTGTGTGTGTGTGTGTGTGTGTGTGTGTGTGTGTGGGGCGGGTGGGTGGTGGGTGGGTGGGGGGGTAATATGAATGTGGTAAACATTACGCAATCACTGATTGCAGAGGGTGAGAAACCCCCACCCTCCGTTATCAGGCCACACCCATCTGTACACACATTCTCACGCACGCACGCACACACACACACAACACACACACACACACACACACACACACACACACACACACACACACACACACACACACACACACACACATACACGCACACACACACACACACACACACACACACACACACACACACACACACACACACACACCACACACACACACACACACACACACACACACACACAGGAGATCGACTGGGAAAACCTGGAGCCACATGGGGGTCCCGAAACATGGAGAGCCAAGATGATGGATGTGGTACTTGAAAACCTCATGCATCAACATGTCAGGGACACAACCAGAGAGAGAGGGGAGGATGAGCCAGCAAGACTGGATCTTGTGTTCACCCTGAGCAGTTCAGACATTGGGGACATCACTTATGAGAGGCCCCTTTGGGGCTAGCGATCATGTGGTTGAGTTTTGACTATATAAATAGAGGTTTTCAATGGAGAAGGTAACAGGAACTGAAGGGGGCCCGGCCCCAAAATATTAAAAGGGGGGGGCAAAACAGGTATAGTAAACTTCCTGGGAGGAGGTTTAGTGGGCCCGAGAAAGGTAGGGGAAAATCAGTAAACGAGGAAAGATGGAATATGTGGCAACAAAGTCAAGGGGGCAGAGGAAAGTTTTTTTTCCCAAAGGGAAAAGGAAATAAAGGGAAAACCCAAAAAAGTCCCCTTTGGGTTTAAACCCGGGGGGGTGTAGGGGGGCAAAAAAAACTAAGTGCAACAGAGAAAGGAAAAAAGGGACAGGAGGCCCTAGGGGCCCAGGAAAACAAGGAGATTAGTAGAAGAGCCAGAAACGAGTAGCACAGATAAGGAAGAGGCCCAGCGACAGAGAAAAAGACCTAGCATCGAAAAATAAATCTGACCCGGAAAAAATGCTGTATAGCCACATTTTGGAGGAAGGCAAAAGTCAAGGACCAGGTGGGGTAAGGCTTTTAGGAAAAAAGGTGGGGGACTCACCAAGAAACGTTTTAAGAGGTATGTGAGGAGCTCAACACGAGATTTAAGGAAGTATTTACAGTAGAGACAGGAAGGACTCTGGGGGGACAGACCAGATGGGGACACCAGCAAGGAATACACCAACAAGTGTTGGACGACATACATACAGATGAGGAGGAGGTGAAGAAACTGCTAAGGGACATCGATACCTCAAAGGCAATGGTACCAGACAACATCTCCCCATGGGTCCTTAGAGAGGGAGCAGATATGTTGTGTGTGCCACTTACCACAATCTTCAACACATCCCTGGAAACTGGGCAACTACCTGAGGTATGGAAGACGGCAAATGTAGTTCCCATTTTTAAAAAAGGAGACAGAAAAGAGGCACTAAACTATAGACCTGTGTCATTGACGTGTATAGTATGCAAAATTATGGAGAAGATTATCAGGAGGAGAGTGGTGGAGCACCTGGAACGGAACAGGAGTATAAATGCCAACCAGCACGGATTCACGGAAGGCAAATCCTGTGTCACAACCTTCTGGAGTTTTTATGATAAAATAACAGAAGTAAGACAAGAGAGAGAGGGGTGGGTTGATTGCATCTTCTTGGACTGCAAGAAGGCCTTTGACACAGTTCCTCACAAGAGATTAGTGCAGAAGCTAGAGCATCAGGCGCATATAACAGGAAGGGCACTGCAATGGATCAGAGAATACCTGACAGGGAGGCAACAACGAGTCATGGTACGTAATGATTATCACAGTGGGCACCTGTGACGAGCGGGGTCCCACAGGGGTTGGTCCTAGGACCAGTGCTATTTTTGGTATATGTGAACGACATGACGGAAGGGTTAGACTCAGAAGTGTCCCTGTTTGCAGATGAGTGAAGTTAATGAGGAGAATTAAATCTGATGAGGACCAGGCAGGACTTCAAAGAGACCTGGACAGACTGGACACCTGGTCCAGCAAAATGGCTTCTCGAATTTAATCCTGCCAAATGCAAAGTCATGAAGATAGGGGAAGGGCACAGAAGACCACAGACAGAGTATAGGCTAGGTGGCCAAAGACTGCAAACCTCACTCAAGGAGAAAGATCTTGGGGTGAGTATAACACCGAGCATGTCTCCGGAAGCACACATCAATCAGATAACTGCTGCAGCATATGGGCGCCTGGCAAACCTGAGAACAGCATTCCGATACCTAGTAAGGAATCATTCAAGACACTGTACAACCGTGTATGTCAGGCCCATACTGGAGTATGCAGCACCTGTTTGGAACCCGCACTTGATAAAGCACGTCAAGAAACTAGAGAAAGTACAAAGGTTTGCGACAAGGTTAGTTCCAGAGCTAAGGGGAATGTCCTATGAGGAAAGATTAAGGGAAATCGGCCTGACCACACTGGAG